CATCGTTTTCGACAAACCTATGAATGAAGAAAAGCCACCTTTAGTCGGTCAAGCAAAAATAGATGTCAACTCACCGAAGAGAATTATTCTATCAACATGTTTCCAATGAAGGAATCACGTGACCGGCGTCCCCCCCCCCAAACACCCCCTCCTCCCCCCCCCCTTAGACTGACGTCAAAAGCGCCCCCAAAATACTTCGAAAATTAATTAGGAATTCGATGAGAATATTTTTTTTAAAATAAATAAATTATGTGAGCGCATCTTTTTGAGACTTGATGGAAGGTTTTATCATTCATTACCACTTATTCTCTTACTCCCTCGAGGATTGTGTCGTAGATAGAAATGGAATGGAAAAGTTTCTTTTGCAAGGATTTGTGAAAAACCTTAGTTTGTTTCCGGGGCGTTGGAGCTTGGTAAGTTTATGTGACCCCAAAACCCCTTACTTCTTTTTTTTTTTTTTTTTTTTTTTGGGGGGGGGGGGGGGGTATTCACGATTTGGTTTTAAGAGAACACAAACCTCTGGTTAGTACAACTTAACTCCAAATTTCAAGGTCACTAAATTCATGCACTTTAATAATTCCAATCCTCATCATCAGTGCCACTACAGCCCATGTAGAGCCCTGGCATGCTCCACCACATCCTTCCACTCGGAGCGATCCATGGCTTTCCGCCTCCATGCTCGAACCCCCAACGGGTGTAAATCTGTCTCAAACATCATCAATCCACCTCATCCTTGGGCGACCGGTGAGTCGCCTGTGCCTATGCTTCTGCCTGTATATAATTTTGGCTGCTCTGCATTCTGGCATCCTTTCAACATGACCTGCCCAGCGTATTCTGCCTTTTTTTTTATCATTGTGACTATGGGTGGTTCTTTGTACAAATAGTAAAGTTCTTGGTTTGTACGTATTCTCCAGATATCATTTTCTATCACTGGTCCGTATATTTTGCGGAGGATTTTCCTCTCCCATGTGTTGAGCAGGTTCTCTGCTTTTCTGGTGAGGGTCCAGGTCTCACTAGTGTACGTTACTACAGGTCTTATGATGGCGGTGTATATTGTCTTCTTTGTTCCTCTTGAGAGGTTTTTGTTTCCCAGTAGCTTTTGTAGGCTGAAATAGGAACGGTTGCCTGCTGTTATCCTTTCTTTCACCACTGACATTATCTCATTGTGCTCGTTTATAGTACCGCTAGATATTTGAATGTGTCCACTCTCTCAAATTTGTGGTTGTTTATGTTGATGTTAATATCAGCATGGGAGTTTCTTGACATTATCATATATTTTGTCTTCGGTTCATTTATATCAAGGCCAGCTTTAAATGAGGCATTTTCAAGTTCCCTGAATGCTTTAATTACGTCATTACGGTTTCTACCCAGTAGTGCTATATCATCTGCATATGCCAGGTACTGCAATGGTTGGCCATATAAGGTTCCTTATGGTCGTTGTTCTGTAGTATCTCTCTGGAAATAGTTTGTTATGGTTTCACTGGTGCTAATGTGTATGCTTCTAATAACTTTTTCTATCGTGATGTTAAACAGGATACATGATACTGGGTCTCCTTGTCTGAGGCCCCGATTAACTGGGAACTCCTTAGAGTATTCTCCCTGTACCTTGATTCTACTTTTGGAGTTGGCCATTGTCATATGTATGAGCCGAGTAAGCTTGTTAGGGACTCCAAGTTCTTGTAACGCATTGTATAAGTAATTCCTGTTTACGCTATTGTATGCTGTTTTGTAATCCACATATAGTTGGTGTATGTCAATGTTATATTCGTAGCATTTCTCCAGGAGACATCTTATAGTAAAAATATGATCCGTGGTTGACCTATTCTGCCGGAATCCACATTGATAGTCCCCTAGGATCTGTTCGCTATACTTTTCCAATTTTCTCGCTATAAGTTTTGTGAGGATTTTGTACATTACATTAAGAAGGGAGATACCTCTATAGTTTGAGCAGATCAACTTAGATCCTTTTTTGTGGATTGGGATTATGAGTGCCGTGTCCCAATCAGTTGGCATTTCTTGCTCCTGTCAGATTCTGGCTATAAGTTCGTGTATTTGCTTATGCAGTTCGTTACCACCTAGCTTTATGAGTTCTGCAGGGATAAGGTCTATTCCTGGGGCTTTGTTATTTTTCATGGTGGGGATTACATCTTTTATTTCATTTAAAGTTGGTTGGTTGACCAGTGGGTCCGGTCCTCCTTGTGGCGGGGTGTAATCCTCATTGGTTCCTCCACCTGAGCCATTCAGTAAGCCTTCAAAGTGTTGTGCCCATCCCTCTAGTACTCCACTGCTCTCTGTGATCAATTCTCCATCCGTGCTTTCACACATGTGGGATCTTGCTTGAAAGCCATTCTTTTCCTGCTTTATCTTCAGGTACATTCCCTTCACATCTCTTTCTTTTGCCAACTCTTCTATCTCTTTTATTTTTGTTTTTTCTTTCTGCACATTTTGCTGGCCACCCTTCTTGCTTCATTATATAATTGTGGTGTTCTTCTTGTTTCCCTTAGCAGCATCATTAGCCGAGCTTTGTGTCTTTGTTCTATAAGTTCTTTGCATTCTGCGTCATACCATCCTGTTCTTTTCACTGCTGGTCTATATCCAATCGTTTCCTCTGTTACACTTGTAACTATTTGCTTTATCTTTTCCCATTGCTGGTTTATTAATAATTCCAATACAGGTACCATTTTTGCAGATGTTTAGTTTTAGGCACATACAGTTTGTTAGAGAACTGGGTGTCAATGCGTCTTGTTTTTTGTTGATCTCAAGCCCTTGAGGTCCATAGATCCTAGTGCAAGGATAATCGGGATTCGGAAAATCGAAGCTTCACCTAAATAATGTTAGGACTGACAAAATTATGTCACACGATGAAGGTTAAGATTTTGGTACCCTCTGAAGATGGCGCTTGGTGCTGGTTCCCACTTCACCCCTCCCCCCTACCTCCACCTTTCTCTTTTTCACATGGTCCTGAGTGTGAGATTCAAAATGTTTTCATCAACAGGTTAAACACTGGCTTCTCTTCCTTGAAGCGGTTATTGTGGTTCTAATAATTATGGTCTACCCGTTGGCCTACGCCTCGTAATAGAGCGTTTCTTAACCACGCCCCACCCAAGTTTCTTAACCACGCCCTACCCAATTCACTCAAGAGGGATGTCCCACCCCCCCCCCTAGTGAAAAGGTTAAATAACAAAGAGGTTCTAAGTTCTAAGTAGCTCTGCTTGAAACAGAAATACATGCCTATCTCTCAGGGTCAGCGATTCACGCTCTCCTTAATCTTCACACTGCCCCTTGTGGGGCGTGCGGTCTTCGTTGGGAAACATAGCTTAACCCGAATAGAGGCTCTCAAATGGTGATTTATTAAATACATTGTAATCTGTTACAAGTTGTATAAAATACTATAATAAATTTGGTCTAACCCATAATTTGTTAATGAGACTCCTACTCCTATAAAAAATGTATATTAAAGCATATATATCAAATAATTAATCGGTTATCTGCCAATTTGCTAATCGTTCCCCTATTAATAACCAGTGTCACATTTCCCTATTGGCTAAGTATACTTCAGACTAAAGCCTTCAAAATATAAGGGGCCTCAACATGTACAAAAATCAACATTTTTAAATAAGGCCAACTGCGCTTGAAAAAAAATAACCCCTTTAATAACAACAAAATTAAAACAGATTCATTAAAAAAAAAAAAAAAATAAAGAAAAAAAATTTAAAATAAATATAAATTATAAATAATAAAACACACAGAAATAATTATAATTTTTTTAAAAAATAAAAATTTTTAAAAAAGGCAAACACGCATGAAAAAAAAAAAACCCCTTTAAAAAAAAAAAAATAAAAAAAAATTAATAAAAAAAAAAAAAAAACTAACGACAAATGATTTAAGTTAACTATAAATTATAAATAATAATGCACACTGTAGTGATTATAATTTTTTTTTTATTATGTCAGTATCACACAAACATATCCCACTCGGGCTTAACCTTCTCTTTTTCAAAAACCTAGAGGAGTCATGAGACATTAGTGCTAACAACACACATATGCTGGTTGAGGCTTAGGCTTAAACATTAACTTCCGGGTAGTCCATTGCCAACCAGCTCCATCTGCTGGGCAGTGCGGGGTGTCATTTCGGGTTTTTTTTTCAGGGGGGTGGGGAGAGCGCAAAACCAAAACTTGTTCGGCTTGTTTGTTCATTTCTGGAGGCGCCACAAAACATAGCAATTTAAATAAAACCTTAAAATTCGGGGGGGGGGGGCAAATGCCCCATCCTGCCCAACCCAAATGACGTCCCTGCGGTGCCATATAACATCGTATTGAAGTAGGACTCTCCCACCGTCCTGGCCTCCCCCTCAACAACCAGCGCAAGGCCATAAGTCAACAGAAAGCCCCTTGCTTACACGAACGTTATTATTTGCACTTGCCATTCGTAGAATAAGGACCAGACTGACCAGGCTCTAATTGCTTTACACACTGCCGGAGAGAGATGCCGAAGCAACTCTCGCTTTCGTCTTGGAATTCAGATGCATTGCGTGAGAATCCCTGTTAGCTTTCACCGGGCGCACATTTGCAGTCCCGAAGAGCCCAGGATCTCTTGTTACTGGACTGACATTGCTGCAAATATGGCTGATAGTACGGGTAGGTACAGTGGTGTACAGCGAATGGTTGGTGGTGCCGGTAAGTACAATGGTGTACAGCGAATGGCTGATGGTACCGGTAGGTACAATGGTGTACAGAGGGTGTGCTCGGTACCTGCCGTACATAAAGCAGCTCCCACAGGGCTGCCGGCTGTAATATTTCGCAGTCGGAAAGTTAGGCAGAGCCAGGGTAGGGATCATGATTACAATTGCCGGTGACGGGTATGAGGCCAGAGGCGAGGGTGGTAACCTCTGGCCGAGGATTCAAATAATGCAGCCGTGAGAACGCTGCCCCTAGGCAACCGTTTCGTCCCAGCTACAGCGTGAGCTAGTCGCGTTGTGGAAACCCACTGTGGAATCCCTCTTATAGGGCGTCCGACGCTTTCCCGGGATGGGTGGGGGAAGATATTAGGACGTAAATTTTTTCCATCCCAACTCCTGAGAAAGTCGATCGAGTGCACTGTTTAAACGCATAGTGTCGGGTCGACCGGGTGCCTCCTCGTTGGGGTGGCCCCCAGGCGGGGTCCTGGTCGAGCGCCCGGGCGCCCAGGTGAGGGACTTGGGTGAGGAGCCCGTGTGGGGGCTGTCCTGACGAGTGGGCATCTCCAACGTGACGCTCCGCGGCCCGATACGTCGGACCGGGGAGGGGTAATTTGGGGGGGGGGCATAAGAGTCTAGACTCGCCCCACTGACGCCATTTCTTAATGTAACATTTCAATGGTGTACAGAGAATGGCTGATGGTACCGGTAGGTAAATGGTGTACAGCGAATGGCTGATGGTGCAGGTAGGTACAATGGTGTACAGTGAATGGCTGATGGTACCGGTAGGTACAATGGTGTACAGCGAATGGCTGATGGTACCGGTAGGTACAATGGTGTACAGCGAATGGCTGATGGTACCGGTAAGTACAATGGTGTACAGAGAATGGCTGATGGTACCGGTAGGTACAATGGTGTACAGCGAATGGCTGATGGTACAGGTAGGTACAATGGTGTAAAGCGAATGGCGTACAGCGAATGGCTGATGGTACCAGTAGGCACAAAAAGTGGTTTTAAAAAAAAAGGTGAAAAGTTTCATCCACGCTCTGCCCATTTATTAAATTTAATCTGTCCATTGGCTGTTCATTGCTGACTTGACGCAGTGACCTGTATGACTGTATGGCATGATCAATGACACCTGTAACAGGTAGAGGTTGGTCATTCATTCAAAACTGCTAAATATTTATCAAACTATGTGGAGTGCACATAGAAAAGTCGCAGAGACTATTTTGAAAGCTACAATGCTATCACTGATGCCCGTTTTAATGGAAAAAGCGCTATCACACTATCATATCTAGGTGTCCAGTCAGACATCCCTACACATCTAGGCGTCCAGTTAGATACTCAAGCCAACATATCTAGCTGTCCAGTTAGATAGGCAAGCCAACGTAACTAGGCCTCCAGTTAGACAGACAAGCCAACATATCTAGGTGTCTAGTTAGATAGACAAGCCAACATATCTAGGCGCCCAGTTAGATAGACAAGCCAGCATATCTAGGCGTCCAGTTAGATAGACAAGCCAACATATCTAGGTGTCCAGTTAGATAGACCTCATGGGGCAGCTAAACCTTGCCAAAAGGCTGACCAGTACCTCATGGGGCAGTGACAGGCTAAACCTTGCCAAAAGGCTGACCAGTACCTCATGGGGCAGTGACAGGCTAAACCTTGCCAAAAGGCTGACCAGTACCTCATGGGGCAGTGACAAGCTAAACCTTGCCAAAAGGCTGACCAGTACCTCATGGAGCAGTGACAAGCTAAACCATGCCAAAAGGCTGACCAGTACCTCATGGGGCAGTAACAAGACCACACTGAGCCATTTGTACATAGGATATGTGTGATCAGTGATGGAATACAGCTTTGTGCTTGAGTCAATTTGAAGCAAGACAGCACAGCACTCTCTAGGCAAAATACAAAGCCAGCAGTTCATTCTATCTGGGAAGGTCTAAGATCTACCCCGACAGCAGCATGCAAAATACATACAAATATTGAGCTACTAAATCTTAGAAGAGATGCAGCAGCTATTGAGACGGTTGACAGGTACAGAAGGTTGGATAAGCAACATCCAATTAGACAACACCAACACTCCACCTATATGAGTGTGTTAATTCTTCACCATGGCAGCAGGTAGAAGGGTACAGGCACAAATGGCCACTGGATCTGAATGAATGATGATGATGCTGACCAACATTATTTTTCACCACATTGTTGTCCAGCGTGCCTGAAAATACCTCGTCCAGAGATCCTTGTGTTGCAAATGTAAAATGACTTGTGAAAAGTAAACAGTTTGCAATCTCCACATACCGGTATAACTTATCACCACATTTTGTTCACAACTTGACAATTATCAACAACATTAATTTGAGTAAACGTCAAAAAAAAATACTATGTTATTTTAATGTAACTAAACCAAAGCACAATGTAATTTAAGATTAGCTGGTAGTGACATGGTTTCTTTGATGCACCTTGAAGTTTCCCTTTTTAGCATAGCTGACCTTACACATGTTACATCTGTAAGGCTTGTCTCCTGTATGAGCTTTTTTATGACTGACTAGGTTTGATTTGCAGGCAAAAGCGGCAGGACAAATGGAGCATTTGTAGGGTCTCTCTCCGGTGTGAAGTCTTTCATGTTGGACTAGAGTTGATTTAAGAGCAAAAGCAGAAGAACAAAAGTGACATTTATGTTGTTTCTCTTGAGGTTGATCTTTAAGTTGATTTTTGAGTTTCTCTTTAAGTTTAAGTTTCTCTTCAATTGGCCTATGGATGGCCTGGTGCCTAGTTAGGTGATACTTACTAGCGTGTGAAGAAAGGCAAACAGCACACTGATATGGTTTTTCTCCAGTATGCATTCTTTGGTGCCTAGCTAGACGCGACCTTATTGCAAAGGCCTGAGAGCAAATATCACAGTTGAACGGCTTTTCTCCAGTATGTGTTTTTAGGTGATAAGTTAGACCCGATTTACATGCATAAGCAGCAGGGCAGATGTTACATTTATATGGCTTGTCTGCTGAGTGTATTCTCTGGTGCCTTATCAACTTTTTTATGAAACCAAAAGCAGCAGAACATTGATCACATTGAAAGGGCTTCTGTTCAGAATGCAGTGATGTGTGCAGTTGCAGATCATAATTTGTGGCAAAAGCAGCTGAGCAGTTATGACTTTGGTCACATTTGTACGGCCTCTCTCCGGTGTGTACACTTTGGTGCTTATTTAAATATGATTTTTTAGCAAAAGTTGTACTACAAATTCTACATTTGTAAGGTTTTTCTTTGATGTGCAATCGGCCATGAAGATCTAGAGTATCCTTCTTATCAAATTCAAATAAACAAATGTTACATTTATAATGATCAGCTTCCTCTATGGTTTTCAGTTTTTGGTGGGCATTTAAATCAGGGCATTTGGTGGAAGTCCTAACATAAAAGTCACAGTGGTGCTCCTTGGTTGTCTGAGCACAGGGAAGAGTAGTTTGGCCAGGCCTTCCACGGCAGTGTGTGATGAGATGGTTTTCCAGGGAGGAGTACTTGGTGAATGCAGCATTACATATATCACACTTATAGTTATTTTCTCCTGTTTGGTAACAGTTGTCTCTCTTGTTCCCTCTTTGGCCCTCATCCAAGCTATAGTTTTCATTAAGTTGATTTACAACAGGATGAAACTGCTCAGATGCATTCAATCTATACTGGCATTGATCATCTTTAGTATAACTATTACTATCTGATGTTGATTCTGCTTTAAACAACTCTAAAGAAGAGATATCTGTAATTTCTTCTAAACTGTGTACTGATGCATGCAAAGCATCTTTTAGATATGATGGAAGAATTTCACCTTCTATATTTGCAGAGAGACATATTTCTTCTTCTTGATGTTCAGTCTTGAAGCTTACACATTCATCATTTACTAATTGTGGTAAATAATTGGGAACACAGTTTTTAAAATACAATCTTAATTCTAAACTTTGCTCATGCTCTTGTGTTGTGTCAAGTTTGGGACAAGTTTCTTGTTTAATTGTAAAACTCTTGAAGGTACCATCTTCCTTTTTTGATACTTTTTCAATGTCATTTTCAATTTCTTTCTTTAGTAATTTGTGGAAGTTGATATCAACCTCTGTCTTTTCAACATCATCATCATTTTCATTATGTCTTAGATTGAACTCATAAATATCAAGCTGTTCCATACCAATGACTTGAAGTTACTGGAAGAAAGATTTGATCATAGAGCTCATTTTGAGAAATAGATCATTATCACCTTCATCTTAACTTGAGTGCAGTAAGGCAACAGTTTCACAACTTAGAACATTCTTGATCAAACTTTTCCTTGTATTGCCAGATCCAGAAATACCTGAAATGGAAATCATTTTAAAAATTGCGCTCCAATTTTATTACATATTCAATTCTAATGATCTAGTTAACAAAAAATACATATATTTTAAAAACCTATTACAGTACAATAATTCCTTTTTGTGATTATTTATTGACAGGATCAGGAAGAGCTTAGAGGCTATAGTAGAGGGGTTAGCTGTAGAGAGTAGGTGGAAAAATAACATACAAGTTCATAGCCAGAGTTAGTTTAAGGCAAGGAGGTGATCTAAAGGATCTTGTCAACATCAACATGCTGGCATTTTTTTTATTATTTTTGCTACTTTAGGCCCACTGTGTGTATTCCAGTATGTTTAACATGTTTTAATTGTGGACCTCCTCTATGGCTGATCTATTTGAAAAATAACTATAATCTTAAACCAACAAGAAGATAGTTACACTTCATAAGGAAGATCAATCTATATATTTAACAACAAGTGTAAACAATGGTGTGTGGGCTTTTTTGAATATTTCTCTAATTTCTAAATTCTCAGGTATGAATGACTTTAATCGAATGTATTTTATTATCAGACTTATTTAGAAGTTTTAATCTTGTGTTTGTTTGATCGTTATAAGCATTATTTTGCAGTGTATAAACATTATAAACTGCCAGGGGGAGGGAATGTAAGCCATTGCGGACAAGTGTCGTTCAAATACAAGGGGGAAGGGGAGGGGGTGGGGGTGGTAGAAAAGATACATTGTTTTTGCAGACGTCTTTTATGAACACCCACATATCTTTCCTTTTATATAATTATTATTAAATTTTTAAAGCTTTAAGTATTTTTTTTATAGAACTGTCCGTACCCATCATTTGGGAAAAGCAAATTAAAATAACATAAGCAGACTAACTCTAAACGAGTCTAAGGATAAGGCTCTTATACTTTTATAATTTATTATTAAGTTAAAGCTAGTCTACCTCTAAAGTCTAAGTTAATAATTTAGTAAGAAGTAATCTCACATTCACGCTCAAGTGCCAAGGGATAGCAGCGCCCAGGACTAAGTCTGGAAATGGTTCTGCCAATTTATGGAAAAGAGACAGGGTCTTCTTCTTATGATATAATATGATTATAATATGATGTTTTTTCAGTATCTCAGGGCTATTTTTACTTTTTATTGTTGCTGTTTCTCACTTAAAACTTTAAAACTCTCCCCACCCACATTTTATAAATCTTTTCTGTGGAATTATTCACATTCACAGTATTAATATTAATTCACTAGATGATTGTATGCATTAATTCAATAGGTTGAATTGGTCATATTTTTGCAATTTATATTTTTAATGCACAAACAGGTTACATTTTAAAATTAAACTAACTCACTCCTTGTTGCTCAAATGCCAGAATTTAATTCATTTTTTGATGTTTTAATATTTAAATGGCTTATTATTACAGACCAATACCTAATAAAACTTAAAATGTAATTAAATTTATTTACCCTCTGTTGTTCAAATCCCATGCATATTAATAATTAATAATTAATGTATTTATTTTTTTCTTTGCATAACAAAAAAAAAACAATGTTTTATTATTAAAGCCCAATACTTAATTGAAATGTGTTGCCTGCAAATTTCAGGGCTTTAAGCTTTACTTTAGGCACTTTAGATTTGCTGACTAAAAATTAAAAAGTCATCGCATTTTCATTTTGAGTGTCACAGATGTCTTTTAGCATCACAGAATTTTGGAAATTATTTACTAAAGCTATATTAAATATAAGGAAAAATTCTGACACTAAAAATGCAATAGCTAGTTTTCTAATAAAGATAGAAAAATAAACTTGGTATCAATGTTCAACATTACAATGAAATGAACAAT